ATACATTTTTTTTCATGAGAAAATTCAGAAATGAGAAATGTTAACATGAGCAGTAGGCTACTGGAAAAACTATGCACGTCGACGTATGCCTGTTTTCTGCCTCTTTCACTTTGAATGTTAGTTCTATAGGAAGCCGCCTGCCTCGGGGACTGGCTACCCTGTCTTTGATACTCTACTCTGCGTCATTTTGGTTCAGTTTAATTACCAGACATCACACAGCAACCCAATAATTAAATGTTGCCCTGTAAATTAAGCATGAGGCTTAATTTACAGAGCATCTCAGAGAAGGAGTTCAGCTCTACCACACTTGATATTCTCAGTGGCACATATTTGGTGTTCAGGAGCACATGCAATTAATCAGCTTTGTTACTTTAGGAAATGACTCATCATACGTAGGACTGGGATTACGGGGAGCGTCAGAGCCGAATCTGTTAAGAGTTCTTAGGGAATGATGGGAAATGTGTGCGGACATATTCCAGTGTCTGTTTTAAAACAGAATGCCTTTCCATCGCTTTTGGTTTCTGCATCTCTGATACATTTTATAAATAACTAACAGCTTCATCTACAAAACTGTGGCCGCCTTTAACAAAACAAGGACTTAACACTTTCAAGGACAAGCAGCAAAAAATGTGATGATTTCAAAACAGATTGCAGTTATTGCACGTCAAAGCTCCACAAGTTGAAGTGCATCCTCTTCACTTTAATTTCTAGTCCTGAGAGTTTCTGTTGTTGTTTCTCAGTCACTTTGATAGACGATGCAGAGATAAAGGTCTTTTAAACTCACAGTCAGTATGAAGTAGCATGTAAAGGGACTGATTACAGGCCGATGAGCTGATGCACGCCATAAAAACCCAAGCAGAGACAGTGTAGGGGTGTGTGAATATAATGTGGGAAATTCTACTAGTGTGCAACAGTTTCCCAGTTACAATGTCTCATCAGACTGTGCACGGCTCAGTAAGGCTGCAGTGCAACATTCAGGCAACACTCTCCTCCAATCCAAGGATTTCAAGACCTTCATTCCACTATAGTGATACTTTTGTCAAGGGAAGCAAGAAATATTTTATAGGACATTGGAAGGTCTACAAATTTAAATTCAAAGACTTCACTTGTCATGTTAATTCTGCAGAGTGACGCCAAGTCTGGATTTGTTGCACAAGTTTTTTTCTATTCAGGTTGTCTGATTAGCGAAAATATTACAGTGGATCCCATGTGACTGAAAATCTGTGGTGTAATATTGACATACATGATATGAAGGAGTAATTTTCATACACTATGTGTGTTGTTACTCTGAAGAGCTTTGGTGTCAATAGCACCAATAACTCTAAACAATGGAGAGAACTTTGAATCATTTCCCTGACAAAACCCATGATTAAAGAAATTATTAAACACACACCAATGATCAATCACTAATCTGCTTTAAAAAATATCCTCCCTCTTATTCCTCAGTTAACCAAACTTTATTTAAGCATCATTGTCCTTGAGAAAGTTGTTGCCAGGCAACTCTTTGGTATGTGGTGAAATTAAATCATTTTTTGTCACATTCCATTCAGGTTTTCCCTGAACTGAGTCAGAATCTTTTCTGTTTCTGCCTCCTGATTTTGTCAAGTGGTCGGCCTGACTGCTGGATGAGTACAAAGCCCTTGAAAAGATAATAAGGTTTATTATGTTCTATATTTTTTTAACTGTCAATAAATCAGACCAAAAGTACATTGTCGTGCCACACCTCAACGAGAAGACATTTTCTTTATTTTAAATGGACACAGACAAATAGTTTATTTTGACTCCATCCTAAATTAAATTCATCCAGCAAATGCATATTAATCTTTGGCTTTATACTGTCATTATCCCCAAAAATGTGTTCCTTTATGAGTAAAGTTAAGCCTTCAGTACTCAGCTGTGTAGAAACGACAGTACTGAGTATGAGTGCAACAGGTACAACTGTGCTTAGGACTGAGTGCCCTGAGGTCAAGGTAGAATTAATTGTCGTTGTCTCATTTAACCCAGGATAATTCCCTCAATGCTCCTTGGTCCCACCCACTTCTTTTTTCATAAAATGAGTGTCTTAGAGCCATATCTTTCATTTAAGCCATTTGATTTTAGTTATCTGTTCTTACAGATTTGTTTAGCAGCTCTCAAGGACTACAATCTTTAGATATCATTTAAAACAGTGACAAAAAGAAGAAAAGCTTTCACTGGCTGAATCCATTGCATTAGATATTTCAAATCAAATTTAAAGCTGAGTTACAATGGTAGGTTGACATCACGAACAATCCTTATGATTCTTTAAGTTGTGCAAGTAAAAGTTTGAGGTTTTTTTTGGCCAGAAAAAAACATCATGAGGATGAACTGTATCTAAAAGTCTGCTCTCGTCCCATCCAAGGATTTCAAAGACCTTTATTCCACCATACTCATAATTTTGTCAAGGGAAGCAAGGGATGTTTTATGGTACGTTGGAAGGTCTACAAATATAAATTCATGTTACACCGGCAGAGGCCAAAGACTTCACTTCACATGTTAACACTGCAGAGTGATGCCAAGTCTGGACTTGTTGGACAAAGTTTTTTTTTTATTCAGGTTGTCTGATTAGCGAAAATATTACAGTCGATCCCATGTGACTGAAAATCTGTGGTGTAATATTGACAGATGCAACAAAAATGATCTGTTCCAGGTTTTACTGCGAATCTTCATGAACCAACAACTCAGGAAAGTAAACAGAAAAAGAAGCGTCTGTGTCGCTTCTATGACAACAGCGTTCATATATAGAATATGTTCAGGGCACTCTGGACCATCGATGGACGACTTTACGACGCACTTGAAGTGAAGTTGAAACAGACGATCCTCTCCGACCTCCACACTCATCGCTCTGAAGCTACTGGTCACTTCTGTGTTGGTTCAGATTTACATGGGGTTGTGATTGGAGTGTGATTGGACACATATGCACACACGTGTGGGGTTTGGCATGGAGACGTGTCACGGTTCCGTCTTCGCGTATCCTGAACCGAAACCGTGAACGTCAAGACCACGATGTCGGTTTTGGTTTGAGAATTGTCAGTGTGCCACACCTCAATGAGAGATGCCATTTTCCACGTGCAATCGATCACTTTGACTCAATCCTACACTATATTGCTGAACTTGTGCAGCAAATGTGTATCAATCTGTGGCTGGATACTAGTACCATACTCATAGTTCCTTTATGAGTAAAATTTAGTGCTCAGCTGTAAAACAGTAAAACTGGAGTGCCATGAAGTCAAGTTAGAATCTATTGTAATTGTCTCATTAATACTCAGGATAAAGTGGAAGTAAATTACATTTCCTCAATGCTGCTTGATCCCACTCGCTTCTCTTTTTATAAAATGATCTTTTTATTAATTTGCTACGTGGATGTCTAAGCACCATATCTTTTATTTAAGCCAATTGACCTTATTCTCACAGATTTGTGTAGCAGCTCTCAAGGACTAGTATCTTCAGATAACTGACAAAAAGAATAATCCATGCCTTGGAAAATTTAAATCAAATTCAAAGCTGAGTTAGGTCACACGCTACATCACGAACACTGACCATATCATGAAAGGTTCCTTATGATTCTTCCAGTTGTGTAATGTATAGTTTGATATTTTTTCTTGTCTGCCAAGATTGGCCTCTATGGGTTAAAACACCACTTTTAACAAAAATCACACAGATATTTTTTTGTATCATGTCTTATTGTTTGTGCAGGTTAAAATCAACCAGTGCTGGTGGATTTGATTTTCCACTAAAACATGAAAACACGTCAGCGTGTTTGGCCAGAAAAAAAACACACCCATAAGGATGAACTGTATCCAAACGTCCTACAGTGTCAGATTTTGATTTGAAACATGTACTCTATCTCATCAGTTCTCACCCATCTGTTTATAAATAATAGTCATTTACCAAAAGAGGTGATGTGAAACTGTCAAGAATGAATCCCTAAGAGGTGCGTTGGTAGAAGACGATCAGAATTCCCGGACACAAAATACATCATAGTGTTCTAATATCAGAGTTACAAGGTTGAATTGAAGATTGATTTTTGAAGAGGTGTTGTTCAAAACTACCAATCGGTTTACCTTAGTTATCATTTGTGAATACTGGGAGGCTTCATGCATCATCAGGCATTTATCTATAAGGGGTTAAAACTGGAGCATCTTTAAAAAACAGAAATTATTACTGTGTGATCTTCACACAGTAATTTCCAGGTTGTTCCAGTCAGCAGGTATGGTGCAGCCTTCCTAATCAATCACTCAAAGTGTTATCAAACAAAGCATGACAGCAGTCCCAAGTAGAACACAAGATTATGTGGGTGTTAAAGTAAGAGGCATTACACCGGTTCCTCCACCTCCAGCCATGTAAGAGCAGAGTCCTTACATAACAAGAGCATCCTGCGTCAAAAGAGTTAAAGACCATTAACCAAAACATGAATGAAACAGCTTCTCTTGAGTCTTTTTTTTGTTTTTATTGGCTTAACTGGAACGTTTCCTGGACAGTGAACAGTTCTCCGTCCAACCCGCTTGACTGTTGCCATGTGTTTCAGGCCTGAAGTGTGTGTGTCAGCTCTGCGCCAACCACACCTGCGAGACGACCTCAGACGGCGCCTGCTGGAACTCGGTGATGTTGATTGACGGGACGGAGGAGACGGTGAAGTCCTGTCTGTCGCCCATTGAGATGAAGGGCCAGGTCTTCTGCTACAGCTCCCGCAACGTCTCCAAGAGGAACTGCTGCTTCACTGATTTCTGCAACAATGAGACTCTGCACCTACACACAGGTAAACCCAGGTCCAATATAGGATCATTCTTTTTTATTTCAATACAAGGTGGGTTTAAAAATATCGTGGTGCCTCTGCTGCACTAATTTAAAAAAAAAAATGGATTCATCCATTCAGACAGCCAGCAGTCTCTGCATTCATTCGACAGCAGCACAATCAGTGTGGGATTTCCCACTCATTCTGGCCCCGGCTAGACGAGGTGGATGCTGATCCTTCTAGATCCTGTGACATAACAAATCTGGCAGAGGCTGTGGGATGGCGGTTAGTGATCCTCACCCGCCCTCGCCTGATTTATAAATAAATACTTCGCCAGGCCTGTCATCCTACAGCAAGTTCAAAGCCTCTCATGTGTCTGCAGGGTGGAAGTTGTCCTTCAAGCGGGGGGG